AGCCAGTACAGATTATTTTCTAAACCTGAAAAAGATTCAACAGAGAAAGAGAATTACAAACCAATTTCCCTCAAGAGCATAGATACAAAAATCCTCATTAAACTCTGGCCAGTAGAATTCAACAACATATCAGAAAGATTATCCACCCATACCCAGTGGGATTTATTCTTGGTATGCAGGGATGGTTCAATGTTCAAAAATCAATCAATGTGATATCCACATTAACAAACTGCAGAGGAAAACCATATTATTATCCCAATAGATGCAGGGAAAGCATTTGATAAATACAACACTCTTTTATGATGAAAATTCTAAACAAATTGTGTATAGAAGGAACATTCCTCAACACAATCAAAGCAATTTATGAAGAACTCACGGCCAGCATGAAAAATGTTCAAGATCATTAGCCATCACGGAAATGCAAATCCAAACCACAATGAGGATTTACCTCACCCTGTTAGAATGGTTTACATACAGAAATCAACTAACAACAGATGCTGGTGAGGATTTGTGGGAAAAGGCACACTAATCCACTCTTGCTGTGAATTCAAACTGGTAGAGTCACTATAGAAGACAGTTTGGAGTCTTCTCAGAAACCAGAATATAGCCATACCACATGACCCAGCCATCACACTCCTCAACATTAACACAAGTGAAATTAAATTGGCAAATAAAAGAGCTATCTGGACCTCAATGTTTATTGCAGCTCAATTCACAATAGCTAAGACATGGAATGTGCCTAAATGCCAATCGATGGAAGACTGGATAAAGAAACTATGGATATGTATTCTATAGAATTGTACACAATAGTAAAAAAAAATGAAATGCAGTCATTTGCAACAAAACAGAGGAATCTGGAAAAATCATGCTGAGTAAAATAAACCAGTCCCAAAGGGACAAATATCATATGCTCTCCCTGATCTGTGACAACTAACTGATCACCTAAATGGAAACCTGTAGAAATGAAACTGACACTATGATAAGCAATGACTTGATCTACACTTGTTCTGACTTTCAAGGAACAGCTTACTATTTTATTCCTCTTAGTATTTTTTTTCTATTCAATGCATTCTTTGAACTCTTTAATTAACACAGAAATTTTCTTAGGGGTATAAATCCAACTGTAGTGATATCCCTGTTAAAAATAGGGGTGGAGTAAGAGAGATAGGAGATGTACATATTGCCATATGCACCCTTGGATTTACCCCTAATGGTAAATCTAAAAAGGTGCCATGGGGCTCCAAATCCATTAAGTTGGCAGATACCAATGCCATCTTACTAGGTAAATTGATCAGTTGAAGTTCATAACTGATCATAAAGGTAGGATTAAGTGTCAAAGGAATCACATAAACAAGTCCAGTGTCTGGTAATAATAACTGATAGAATTAAAAAGGAGAGAACGATCCCAACATGGGAACAGGATACACAGCAGACTCATATGCCCTTAACAGTACTTTGGCCTCAGAATCAGCCCTTAAGGCATTTGGATTTGGCTGAAAATTCCATGATTGCAACAGAGGCATGGAAATCCAAGATACTGTGGTAAAAAAAGGCCTAAATGAAGGATCTCTGTGAGTGAGATCCATTGAAAGAAGCAGCCAACAAAGAAGGAAGTACCTTTTTATGAAGGGAGGAGAGAACTTCCACTTCGATTATGACCTTGTCTAAATAGGTTAGGTGAGAGTTTGTGAACTCAAGAGGCTTCCATAGCCATGGAAGCTCATGACAAGAGCCTCAGATGATTACTGATGTCATAAATAAGTGTGTCAATTGCTAAATCCACAACAGGAGTCACTGTGAACTTGCACCCCTTGTAGGACCTCTGTCTTTAATGTGTTATACTTTGAGAATTATCACTAAAATGAATCTTCAAAATTTACTTTACAAAAAAAAACACTTTACTTTATAGTTTGTGTGTCTGTGTGGGTGCAAACTTGAAATTTTACTTAGTATAGAGTTGATCTTCTGTATAGAAACATAATTACAAATGAATCTTAATGATGAATAGGATGAGAGAGGGAGTAAGAGATGGGATGGTTTGTGGGAGGGTGGGTGGTTATGGGAGGAAGAATGTAATACTTTATCCATTTTAGTATTTTTTTTGTTCTAGTACTATTGGTTGAACTCTGTAATTAACACACAATTATTCTTAGGTGTTTAAATTTTAAGTGAAAAGTGATCCCTGTTAGGAATCTGGAAAGCATTATGCTGAGTGAAATAAGCAAGTCCCAAAGGGACAAATACCATAGGTTCTCCCTGATCCGAGACAACTAACTGAGCACCAAAAAGGAAACCTGTTAAAGTGAAATGAACACAATGAAAAATGATGGCTTGATCAGCCCTTGCCCTGACTGTTGATGAACAAATTAATACGTTATCCCTCTTAGTATTTTTTGTTTGTTCTACTTAATACTTTTTGTTGAATAATGTAATCAATACACAGTTATTCTTAAGTGTTTAAACTTAACTGAAAAGTGATCGCTGTTAAATATGAGTGGGAATAAGAGAGGGAAGAGATGTGCAATTCGGGACATGCTCAAGCTGACTTACCTGAAACGGTAGAGTTAGAAACATACCAGGGGATTCCAATTCAATCCCATCAAGGTGGCATGTACCAATGACATCTCACTAGTCCCTCTGATCAATTTCTGTTCACAATTGATCAGAATGATAGGACTAAGAGCCAAAGGGAGCACACAAAGAACACTGGTGTCTGCAAATACTAGCTGATCGAATAAAAAAGGGAGAGAATGATCCAACATGGGAAGTAAGATACACAGCAGACCCATAGAATGGCAGATGTCCTAACAGCACTCTGGCCTCAGAATCAGCCCTTAAGGCACACAGATCTGGATGAAAAGCCCATGAGAGTATTATAGGCTTGGAAAGCCAAAACACTCTGGCAAAAAAAAATAGGGACCTAAATGAAAGATCTCCATGAGTGAGATCACAGTGAACAGAACGGGTCATCAATGAAGGAGGTACCTTTCTCTGAAGGGAGGAGAGAACTTCTACTTTGACTACAACCTTGTCTAAATAAGATAAGAGTCAGTGAACTCAAAAGGCTTCCATAGCCTTGCCGACTCATGACAAGAGCCTAGGGTGATACTGATGCCATAAACAAGAGTGTCAATTTGTGAAGTCAACAACAGGAGTCACTGTGCACTTACTCCTCATGTAGGATCTCTGTCCTTAATGTGCTGTACATTGTGATTTAATGCTGTAACTAGTACTCAAACAGTATTTTTCACCTTGTGTTTCTATATGGGTGCAAACTGTTGAAATCTTTACTTCATACATGCTAAACTGATCTTCTGTATATAAAGAGAATTGAAATGAATCTTGATGTGAATGGAAGGGGGGAGGGAGAGGCAAAGGGGAGGGTTGTGGGTGGGAGGGAAGTTATGGGGGGGAGCCATTGTAATCCATAAGCTATACTTTGGAAATTTGTATTCCTTAAATAAAAGTTAAAAAAAATGCACAATTGTTTCATAACATACATTTTCCATGAATTTTTGAAGACTTCTCATTGCATGGAGTGCATCCTTTCCATTCCTAATCTTTTTTAGTGAATCATTTGCATTCAGATTGACTCTGCTTTTAGTTTCTACACATTAGAGAGAACAGGAGATATTTGCTCTCTGATTTAGATTTACTTTTCTTGTTAACTGAACAGACTACAAGTTTCATCATTGTACTGGTAATAAATCAAACTCATCAAGACAATGAACTTTCATTTTTATGTAAGTCAGTGAATTCTGTGTGTGTTGTGGCTATACTTCATCTCAATTTGTATGAGCCTCTATTAAAAACCTCACTAGTAGCATCAGAGCAGTGATTAGGCAATGGAAAATGTGTTTTGCTTAAAATACTAGGCATCTCATTTATAGCAGTATGAGTTTAGAAAACTTCTGAGTGGAATACTAGAGTTCTCTTATTGCCCTCTTGTCCCATCCTTATTAGATTTACTTCATTAGCAATACATCACACTGATATGCAAGCACAAATGATTAGTCAGTGTTGATCATCACTATTACCTACAGGACATACTATCCATTGTGTTCACTCTCGTGTTGTGTAGTATGTGGGTTTTGCAAAAGATTAAAGGTATGTAGCTGCCCTGTCCATCATAATAGTTCTGAAAGTCACTTGCATTCAAGCAGTACAGTTGTCTACAGCCATCACCCTGCCCTTGGTGTTTGTGGTGGTGGGAATAAAGAGGTGACTTCTGGCTGCTGTTGTCTGTCTTATGGTAAAAAGCAAAGAGTACTCAAATAGTTACTAGTTCTCATGAGAGCATCAACCAAGGTTGAAGGTGCAAAAACAGATCCACATGAGATGACCGTGGTTAACACTAGTGGAAGGGTTTCTTGTTTTACACCTGAAGATGTGGTGATTTGACATACAGAATAGGAACTTCTGAATTCAGGGTGATTACTGGTTCCACAGTGATTGAAAACCACATGTCCTAGTGGGTATCTCTCTACACATGATTTGTTTGGGGTCTATGTGGCATCAAGACCATATGTGCCTGCCCAAAAATGCAGTGTGGGAGGCTGCCCTGTGGCTCTTTATCTTTAAAGTGTGTGACACAGGAGTTTTCTGGTCTGAAACCTTTATGAGAACCTTGCCTGATGCTGCCCTTCATGCCATCTGATGTAATCCAGGTACATAATTGCCAAAAGTTCATGGAGAGGTTTATTGACAAAGCCCATTGACCAAATGTAACTGAGAGGAGTTTCTCCCTTGAGTCTTTTTATCCATGAACTTGGAGGAAATCCTGGCACCTGGGGTGAAGAGGATGAATCACAAACATGTTTTCTTTCCTGTATTTTGCACCTGGCAGAAGACCTGAGCTGCAAAGCCTGAGGGCAGAAAGGGTTTACGATTCCCCCATAGACAAATGGACAGCTGGTGGAAAAAGTCAGATGGAGCAGTATTAAAGTGGCTTGATTCAAGGAATCACACACACACACACACACACACACACACACGCTATATGTATGCACCTGCATAACCCTGCACGTTCCACTGTGGTTGTGTCCTAGGGTTTTTCCCAGACTCTGAAAATGTTTCCTTGGATTTTTCTGTTGCTTTTTCTGCAGCTATATCTCCTTGTGATTTGTCAGGATGGTCCCAAGTGCTATTCCAAGATTGAACGGAGTTTTTACAAGGATGGAGACATTGAGATTGCTTCCTTTTTCCCCATTTACATACACCTCGTTAACAGAATCATGAATATTTTCCAAAGAGATCTCACATTCATCCGGTAAGTTCCCTTTGCCATAATCATTTTCCCTTGATTTACATAATAGCTACTTGTTATTGGGTCTGCAGACCCAATAGACATATGTGGTTTCCTACTCTTTGCATTCTCTGTCTCTCCTAAAAAGTGCTGATAATTAATTTGGAGCATGAGGTGACATTTTCTTTCTTGTGTTCATGCATGGTTCAGGGAAAGGTTTTCTAATCGTAGGAAGGAGGAGAGTCAGGTTGGGATCTTCCTGTGCTTCCCTGTCCATGTTCACCTACTCAGGTGCCTGTTGTGCCTCAGTATTAGATTCTTACGGAACCCATGCACTGTAATGAATGAACTGAGTTACATGAGCTCTTCCACATGTGCACACAATCTTTTCTACTATGTACTAGATTTGGGGCCATGAGAACACTTCATGTCTTCTACATTGTAAAGAAGAAAAGATATTCAAGAGAGTAAGTTTTCACTAGTTAAAAGCAATCTTGGCTCAACACCTTTGCACAAATATAATAATTATATTTTAATGATGAACATAAGAAATTTAATGTTTGGAATCTACAACCCTCATGATGTGTCCCTGATTCTTTCCTTTTCTGGGAAAAATACATTTCAGAAGGGGGATTATTCTGCTTCCACCCTCTTTAAGATACATTTTTAGAGCTAAATATAAATGTTTTATATATATATACATAATATACATATATAAACATTTATATTCATATATAAATAATATTATATATCAATAATATATATTGATATATAAATATATAATTATTTATTTATATTTATTTTATATAAATAAATATATTTTATATAAACAAAATATATTTTATATAAATAAATATATTTATTTATTTATATATATTTATGTATAATATATATATATAAAGCGACTCCAGTCCACCCAGGGAGTGTTTCCAGCTTCTCCAAAGTGCTCCTCCCTTTTCACTGTTTCCCTTCTTTCAAGCTCTGAATCTGATTTCATTTTTCTGGCTTGGGATGGTCCTTGATCGGTACATTTGATGGGGAAGAGATTTTTCTCGATAAACTCCAAGATTCCATCTACCATTCTCCATGCTTTGATGTCATCCAAATTTCTGATCACATAGCCTTCAGCTGAGTTATTCTCTTTTCCCATTGCATCCTGCAGCCTTGTGATCATATGACTCTTATTTCAAGAAGTATTTGTGATGTGACATTATGGTGTAAAAGCAGATCTTATTTTATAGAATCTTTTAGGCTGGGTGACCCGGATAAAGATACTAGCAGCTTTGGTTCTGGTGAGGACAACTGTCCTGCAAATATGATGCTCTTGACACTCTGTCCTAAGCAAATGCACATATAAAGATTAGAACACTTGAATTTTTGACCATGACCAATCCATCTGTCAGAGTAATTACAGTAGAATTGATGATAATCTGGATTGGAGGCTTTTCCCTTAAAGATCCTTGTGCCTTTCATGCAGGTTTCAATCCAAAAACTACCAATATGTTCTGGCCTTGGTTTTTGCTATTGAGGAGATCAACAAGAACACCCATCTTTTACCCAACATGACATTGGGATTTGATCTCTATAATGTCATGCACAGTGACATGATGGTGATGAAGAATCCCTTCATCTGGCTTGCGGGAATGGAAAAGCATGTTCCCAATTACACGTGTAGGAAACAGAGCAAGTCTGTAGCCATAATATCAGGAACAAGCATTGCTGCTCAAATGGGGACACTCCTGGAACTCTACAAAATTCCACAGGTGAGTGTGTAAGGGAGAGGGAAAAAGCACATCACCTTAGGTGCCTTACTTAGACCCAAAAGTTTAAGTGACAGAGACCTTATATATTTCACACAGTGCATATTCTAAGGAGAAGGTGTGCAGAGATTTGGTGAAGTAGCCACATTTGTTCTAAAGTGATGTGGGTGAGTGATAATGAGAAATGTTTTCCTCAACCTGTGAGTCTAATGACTCATGAACTAGGAAGTTTATATGTAATGGGAGATGAGAAAAATGAAATATTCTAAAATCTTTTGATCCATCCATCATTTGTTTAATTTCTTCAGAAATAAGATTATTCACTATAGCAATAACCTTACACAGATTTCTTGCCTTTTCCCTTAGCTGACTCTTGGATCTTTTGAACCTCTTCTGAGTGACAGTGCTCAGTTTCCTTCTGTCTATCAGATGGCCCCCAAAGACACTTCTCTGGCCCATGGCATGGTCTCCTTGATGCTTCATTTCAGCTGGACCTGGGTGGGTTTGGCCATCTCAGACCTCCCAAAAGGTATTCAGTTTATGTCCAATTTGAAAGTCGAGATGCAGAAGAATGGCATCTGTGTAGACTTTGTGGAATTCATCCCAGTCACTGAGGAGTCACATAATTCATTCCAGAGGCTGTATCATATCCAGATCCTAAAATCATCAGCAAATGTGGTGAATCTTTTCTGTGACACTGATTCACTCATAGGCATCAGCTTTCCAACATGGGAACGTGTAATGACATGGAAAGTCTGGGTCACCACCTCACAATGGGATTTTGCCAGCGATGAGCATCATATCCTGCTCCACTCATTCCATGGGACTCTCATTTTTTCACACCACCATGGTGAGATCTCTGGTTTCAAAAACTTTCTTCGGACAGTTAACCCTTCCAAATACCCAGAAGACTTTTACCTCTCTACATTCTGGTCACTATATTTTGATTGCTCAGTTACTGGGCCATCCTGCAAAACCTTGAGAAACTGTCCACTGAATGCCTCCTTGGAATCCTTGCCTTTTCATCATTTTGATATGAGCATGAGTGATGGGAGTTACAACATATACAATGCTGTGTATGCTGTGGCCCACAGTGTACATGAGATGCTTCTACAAGAGTTAGAAATGCAGCCAGTGAGCAATGGGGAAAAGGTGGCATTTTCTCCTTGGCAGGTAATTTGGTTTCCTTTGCATGACTTGTATTATTGGAATGATCCCCTTAAAAGCTTCTGCGGGTTTTCAAACCAATAACTTAGGATCCTTCCTTCAATCACAAGATATAAATGATCCTTTTTTTGTAATTTGTGATTAGAAACAGGGTTCCATTTTCAAGTGGGAAGGTAACTTGGATAAGCATCAGTGCTGTGTCTTAAAAATTACTCTCCCATCCTGACAATTTAATTATGACTTGTGAATACCTAGACTGTGTCATTCCATTTTCAATCTAAGCAGTAAAGAAATTATTACTTTTTAGTGTCAAATGTTGCTGAGTATGCTCATCCACAATGTACATAAGACATCTCATTAAATTGCATACTATTTTATTCTGGTAACTGCATTACAGATGGTTGTCCTAGGGACACTGGGAAAATAAGTGAGTGTTGGTAACGTGGACCACATTTTGAAACTGTCATAATTTCACAGTTAGATATTTTTGATTGCCCTTGTTTTTGGATGAACGTGAGTGAAATCACACTTATTTTGAACTAGTCCTCTTTAGGATTTTGGTTTTAATACATTGGGTGGCTGTAAATAGATCCCTTTATTTATTTGTGATTACAGACAAAAGGCATTCTTTAACCTGGGTTTGATGAGAATATGATGCATTTTTTCAGTTGCACCCTTTCTCAAGAACCTCCAATTTACCAATCCTGTGGGTGACCTAATGAATTTAAATCACATGAGGAATTTGGAAGCTGAATATGACATTCTCAAATTTCTGAATTTTCCATATGGTGTTGGACATAAAGTTAAAGTAGGACAGTTTTCCCCATATGTTCCACAGAGCAAACAGTTGTCTCTCTCTGTGAATTTGATAGAGTGGGCCACAGGAATTACAGAGGTAAGTTGGACCTGATCATAAGGTTCACACTGCCCATTGTTACCCCCCATTCATATGGATATTTGTGCAACTTGGCTTATTAAAACATACTGAGAGTCATTAAACTACACCCATTCCAATCTAAATACTTTCTTATGTTTTTAGTGTCTGCGGATGTACAGTACACACACACTTGTTCCTCCGCATGTTGTGAATCTATATATTTAGTAAATAAACTTGCATGTCATGATTGTGTCAGAAATAGGTGTTTACAGTTTCAGTGAATAGGTTGTGCAGGACTTGAAAACCCTCTACTTGGAACAGAAGTAACATTCCCAATATGACCAATATTCATTTGATTTTTCTCAGACTCCACGTTCAGTATGCAGTGAGAGTTGCAGCCCTGGATTCAGGAAAGCCCCTCTGGAGGGGAAGCCTACCTGTTGTTTTGATTGCACACCTTGTTCTGAGAATGAGATTTCCAATCAGACAGGTATGTCAGTGCCAGCTTCATGGAGAAATTAACACCTGTTTCTTAGAATTTCCTCTTCTCCATGAAAAGAAAAGGATGTGGATTATGACTGCTGAGAAGATTCTTTTCATCTTCTGGTGGAAGTTAAACCTTATATTCAGTAATAATCCCTAAAAGGATAAAATTTTGCACACTATACTTTACCACATGTAGTATTTGCAAAATCATTTAGGTAAATTCATGTCTGCATTCCTTGTGTGTGTTTAGATAAAATGCTTTCACCAAATTCAAATATAGCATGCTTGCAGTGAGAAAGCACAACTCTCATCAAACTGTGTGTAAGACGAAAAGCTGTATTAGAAATTATATAGTATATCATGCTAAGGATAACACTCATCAGATATCATAAATGAGCTAAGCTTAGCCTTTGAGAAAAATCATTGCTTATGAAAATATATATCTTCAGGAACATTCCTATGCATACACACATACACTCATGAGTAAAATTTATTTCAAAATAATACATGCTGACATGCATGGTAAAAAGAATGCATAGCAAGGTAGGTTAATGACATCAAATTCAACACAAACCCTTGAAGATAGGATGTGGACACTATAAGGAAACTGAGGTAAATAAAAATTGGAAGAGCTTATAGGTGGTGCTCATAAAACAAGCAAAATTTATGAACCTCAGAAAGTTGGAACAGTACTAAAAACAAGATTACAATGTCTGTGTGTGTTACACAAAGAGAGCTGAAGAGATCTCTGCACAGATATAAAAATAGTAATACTGGAACTTTTTAATCATTTAATGGTGATAGTTTGAATAGAGAAGAAATTCAGAAATTTCCAGATATAAAAATGATGAAATACATTGAGAAATTTTTAAAAATTCAAGTATCTTGAAGATTATTAAAATAATGCTTAATACTTTTATTGTGATAAACACTTTCACATAGGAAAGGAACTCTTTCTCAACTCCTGTACAGAATAGGAAAAATGGAAAAATTCTGTTTCTTCTACAGAAACATCTTAACTTGTTTGGTCAAATACTGCCAGATATTTCAGTAAAATGAAATTGTAAGACACTGTTGTTGAAATAAATTCACACATTTGAAATTTTAAACAACATAAATCCAACAGTATTTTTAAATAGGTTACATCATGCCCAATGCCTTGCATACAATAATAGTAATAAGAATAGCATAACTGAACAAAAACATTTAACAAATCTAAGTGATCTGAGAATTATACAAGAAGAACAAGACAACTCAAAAATGCCAAAAAGAAGGATCAGTTTTCAATCCTAAAGTGTGCTTTAGAATGCTAAAATCATGGAAGTTATGGCTGAAGATTGGATACAAAGTTGAAGAAAGAGTGCAACTTATGCAGGAAATTACCCAGGATGGTCTGCTTTGTGCATATAATAGAAATGAAAGCCATGCAACTTATTATAAAGGAAGATATAAAAGTGGAATCATTTTCAACTAATCTTGGGATGGTGTAATACAATCAAAAATCAGTAACTGAGTTAAGTAGTGCTGGAATACTAGATTAATTACAAAAAACCAGTTATTTTTGCTTACCAATTCTGGAAAACAAAGCTCTGAAAATGAGCACATGTAATATCTCAAAAGTAGGAACTATCCAAAGATAAGACCACCTAAATTTTGGAAGACATCTTCAAGTTGCAATATCTGACATCGATGGAGCAATGTATAGAAGGGGATACTGACAGAGAAAGAAAATTCATGTTCAAGGATAAAAAGGTAGCAAAGTGGAACTATGCCAGTAGGGTTCAAGGTGATCTCCAGACTGACTTTGATTACAGGCAGCATCCCAGTGTGTTCCTTCATGGAAATCTGCTCAAGGGTGGCATCTTATCCAGAAGGTATCAAGTGTACAACTCTTCTGCGTTTCTCTAGAACTTGACCATCTGCTTTCTAATGGTGATCTCTCAATCAGTACTTGCCCATAGAATGGCTATCCAGATCCTACCTTAGAGAGATGTGGTTTAGTGAGATAACAGGGTACTTTCTGTGCACCCCAAATTCACACAGTAAATATCCCAGTGCATGAAATTAAGAGTGGGAACCTGGGCCAGTACTGTGACTAGGAGTCGAAGCCTCTGGCTGGAATGCCAGCATCCCAGTTGGGCTGCAGTTCCAGTCTCAGCTGCTTCACTTCCAATGCAGCTCTCTGCTGATGCTTAGGAAAGCAGCAGAAGACAGCCCAAGTTTCTGAGTCCACACCATGTAGGAGACCCAGAAGAAGCTCCCACTTATTGCCTTAAGACAGCCTAGTTCCAGCTATTACCATCATTTGGGGTGTGAATCGCTGGTGGAAGATTTCTTCCTTTCTCTTTTTCCCTCTTTCTCTTTCCCCTTCTCTTTTTCCCTGTCCTCCTGTCCTTCTCTCTCTCCCTCTCACTCTCCCTCTCTCCTACTTTTCCTCCTCCTTCCAAAACTCTGCCTTTCATTAAATTATAAATAAATAAATAAATAAACACTCCTTAGAAATAAAACTGGGATCCTTTGGTCATTAAGAGGGCCATGAGAATCCAGAGGGAATAACACCATTAAAACAAGGGCTTACTGCAGGCATAAAAAGCCAAGACTCTGGCAAAAAATAGCCTCATGGAGGATCTCCGTGAGACCTAAATGGAAAGAAATGGTCATCAAAGAAGAATATACTCTTCTCAGAAGGGAGGAGAGAACATCCAACTGCTTATGGCAATGTCCAAATATTGATGGCAGCCCATGTCAAGAGCCTCGGCTGATCACTGATGTCATACATAAGAGTGTTAATTGTTAAAGGAATAACAGAGTCACCGTGCATTTATTCCCCAAGTAGGAACTCCATCCATAATGAGTTGTGCTTTGAGAATTGACTGCAATTTTTCCCCAAACTCTATTCTATATGTAGTTTGTCTTCATGGATGCAAACTGTTCAAATCTATGCTTAATATGGAGTTGGTCTTCTATATTTAAAATCAAACTAAAAATGAACCATAATAAAGAAGGAGATGGGAGAGGGGGAGGGAGGTGGGATGAGAGTTGGGATGGGAAGGTGGTTTTAGGGGAAGGAACCCCTATATTCCCAAAGTTCTATCTATGAAAAAAGCATTAGTTAAAAAAAATTGAATTATGAAAGAATGTATTCATTAAGAAAACAAGGACTGCTGCTTGCTCTTGTTCAAAGTGAGGATGCAGCAAGCATGTGCAATGTATAAAGGTCAGAGTAGTCTTTACCACACATAGAAACCCCTGGCATCTTGATCATCACTTCCCAATCTGAAGAAACCGTGAAGAATGAATTTGTGGTGTTAAAATGAAACAGGTCAAAAAGGTAGGTTTTTAAAGTACCATGAGTAGGTTCAGAGAGTAGCCCTTAGTACTTTGTTAGGACAAAAAGAGCATGTACTCATGAGTATGTAAGGTACTTAGGGAGATGGAATAATAACTCTGGCTAACATGAGGAGATGGGCATGAATAATGGCCAATAATTTGTAGATGTCATCTTATATGCTATTTCAACACCAAATAAGGACTACTTGCTTAAACTGGCTAAGTCGGGTCCTTGTGAATCAGGAACATGGGATGATGTGATTGTATGTTTCTCACTAGATATGGACCAGTGTGTGAAGTGTCCAGATCTTCAGTATGCCAACACAGAGCGAAACCAGTGCTTCCACAAAAGAGTGACCTTTCTGTCGTTTGAAGATGCCCTGGGGATGACCCTGGTCTGCACAGCTCTGTGCTTCTCTGTCCTCACCGTTGTTGTCCTTGGGGTCTTTGTGAAGCACCGAGACACTCCCATAGTCAAGGCCAACAATCGTTGTCTCAGCTACATCCTGCTCATCACCCTCATCTTCTGCTTCCTCTGCTCCTTAGTGTTCATTGGTCGTCCCAACAAAACCACCTGTGTCCTCCAGCAGACCACATTTGGAGTGGTATTCACTGTGGCTATTTCCACTGTCCTGGCCAAAACTATCACTGTGCTTCTGGCCTTCAGGGTCACTGGCCCAGGGAGAAGAATGAGACACTGGCTGATATCAGGGTTACCTAACTCCATTATTCCCATCTGCTGCCTGATCCAACTGGCTCTCTGTGGCTTCTGGCTTGGGACTTCTCCTCCCTTTATTGACACAGATGCACACTCTGAGCATGGCCACATCATCCTGGTGTGCAACAAGGGCTCTGTCACTGCCTTCTACTGTGTCCTGGGCTACCTGGGTTCCTTGGCCCTGGCCAGCTTTACTGTGGCTTTCCTAGCCAGGAATCTGCCTGACACCTTCAATGAAGCCAAGTTCCTGACATTCAGCATGCTGGTGTTTTGCAGTGTCTGGGTGACCTTCTTGCCTGTCTACCACAGCACCAAGGGGAAGGTCATGGTGGCTGTGGAGGTCTTCTCCATCTTGTGCTCCAGTGCAGGGCTCCTGGGCTGCATCTTTGTTCCCAAGTGCTACATTATTCTCTTCAGACCTGAGAAGAATGCTTTGAAAGGATTCAGGGATAGAATAATTTCCAAGGAAACAGATGTTCTCAGGAATAGCTCTTAGGCTCTCTCAGTTTTCAATGGTTAGAAGCTAAAATTTATAAAACTGATTTGCATTGTGATGTTATAAAATAACTTGCAGCATGTGACCTCCTTATGAACAATTTATACTTTTCTTAAAACATTTTTGTTCTGAAGGACCAATCCACAGAAAATGAAGAGAGAGTGGGATAAACCTTCCATCTTGTGATGGAATGTGAAGATATCTGTAGTGGGCCAGTGCTGGTTCATGCCAAAGCAAGGAGGTTAATTCAGCTGTCCATGTGAGTACCAGGGACGGAAAGGCTTAGGCCATCTTCCAGAGCCTTTTCTAGATCTTAACAAGGAGCTGAGTTGCAAGTGGAGCAGACAGGCCATGAACTCGCACCAACATGGGATGTTAGGTTTACAGGTGGTGGTTATATCCACTACACCCTCATGGTGGTCCTAATCCTCCTCCTTCAAAATAATACTGTGTACTAATTTCTTAGCCTGGGTTTATGTTCATAAGCACAAACCCATCTCATTTCTTTTCAATCCTGTATTTTCATTGTCAACTCATTGACCTTGTTATCTTCCTATTTTGATTAAAATGAATTACACATTGGTTGCTACTTTTAATCATTCATTGGAGTCTATACTAAAATCAGCTTAGTAATATAGTTGGAATATTTCAGTGCAATCATTAGACATGTTGTCATTATAATATGTATAATTCATTGTCCAGAAACTCCTTAATTATATATCATTTCATATGAATTTCAAATGATGTGATACACACCAAGATTTCATTATATGTAGAAGTGATTCTGCAAACTTTTCCATCTGTTCATTTTGTTTATTATAAATTTTGCTTTGATTTTCTTTTGCCAGTGCCAGACATAAGAAGTTTCTATTGATGTAATCCCAATTGTTAATTTTCGCTTTGAATGCCTGTGACTCTGGGCTCTTTTCCAAGAATTCTTTGCCTGTGCCTATATCTTACAGGGTTTCTCCAATGTTCTCCAATTATTTGATGGTGTTGGGTCATAGATTTAGATCTTTAATACATGTTGAGTGGATCTTCGTGTAAGGTGTAAGATAGGGGTCTTGCTTCATGCTTCTGCACGTGGAAATCCAGTTTTCCCAGCACCATTTGTTGAATAGACTATCCTTGCTCCAGGCATTGGTTTTAGATCCTTGATCAAATACAGGTTGGCTGATGATGTTTAGATTGATTTCTGGTGTTTCAATTCTGTTCCATTGGTCTACCCATCTGTTTCTGTACCAGTACCATGCTGTTTTGAATATAACAGCCCTGTAGTATGTCTTGAAATGTGGTATTGTGAAGCCTATGGCTGTGTTTTGTTGTACAAGATTGCTTTAGCTATTTGAGATATCCTGTGTCTCCATATGAATTTCAGCATCATTTTTTACAGATCTGTGAAGAATGTCTTTGGTATTTCAGATTGGTATGGCATTGAATCTATAAATTGCTGTTGGGAGAATGGACATGTTGATGATACTGATTTTTCCGATCCATGAGCATGAAAGATTTCTCCATTTTTTGGTATCATCTTCTATTTCTTTCTTTAAGATTTTGGAATTTCTCATCATAGAGTTCTTAACATCCTTGGTTAAGTTTATTCCAAGGTGTTTGATTATTTTTGTGGCTATTGTGAATGGGATTGATATTACAGTTCTTTCTCAGCCATGTCATTGCCTGTGTATACAAAGGCTGTTGATTTTTGGGCATTGATTTATATCCTGCTACTTTGCCAAACTCTTCTATGAGTTCCAATAGTCTCTTAGTAGAGTTCTTTGGATCCTCTAAGTAAAGAATCGTATCATCTGCAAAGAGGATAGTTTGACTTCTTTCTTCCCAATTTGTATCCCTTTAATTTCTTTTTCTTGAAGGTACCTTTCTCTGAAGGGAGGAGAGAACTTCCACTTTGACTATGACCTTGTCTAAATATGATCAGAGTTGGTGAACTCAAAAGGCTTCAATAGCCTTGGTGACTCATGACAAGAGCCTAGGGTGATTACTGATGCCACAAAAAAGAATGTCAATTTGTTAAGTCAACAACAGGAGTCACTGTGCACTTACTCCTCATGCAGGATCTCTGTCCTTAATGTGCTGTACATTGGGATTTAATGCTATAACTAGTACTCAACAGTCTTTTTCACTTTGTGTTTCTATGTGGGTGCAAACTGTTGAAATCTTTACTTCATATATGCTAAACTGATCTTCTGTATATAAAGAGAATTGAAAATGAATCTTGATGTGAATGGAAGGGGGGGAGAGGCAAAGGGGAGGGTTGCGGGTGGGAGGGAAGTTATGGGGGGGAAGCCATTGTAATCCATAAGCTGTACTCTGGAAATTTATATTCATTAAATAAAAGTTAAAATTTTTTTTTCTTGCCTAATTATTCTGGCTAAAACTTCCAGAACTATATAGAAATGCAGTGGTGAAAGTGGGCATCCCTATCTGGTACCAGATCTCAGTGGAAATGCTTCCAACTTTTCCCCATTCAATAGGATGCTGGCCGTGAGTTTTCATAAATTGATTTGATTGTACTGAGGAATGTTCCTTCTATACCCAATTGCTTACAGTTTCTTCATGAAAGGGTGTTGTATTTTATCGAATGCTTTCTCTGCATCTGTTGAGATAATCATATGTTGTTTTTGCAGTTTGCTACTGTGGTGTATCACATTGATTTATCTGCAAACATTGAACCATCATCCCTGCATACCAGAGATAAATCCTACTTGGTCTGGGTGGATGATCTTTCTGATGTGTTGTTGCATTCTATTGGCCAGATTTTATTGAGGATTTTATGTCTATGTTCATCAGAGATATTGGTCTGTAATTCTCTTTCTCTGCTGCATCTTTTTCAAGTTTAGGAATTAAGGTGATGCTGGCTTCATAGGAAGTATTTGGGAGGATTCCTCTTTTTTGATTGTTCTGAATAGTTTGAGAAGAATTGGAGTTAGTTCTCTTTAAATGTCTGGTAGAATTTAGCAGTGAATCCATCTGGCCCTGGCTTTTCTTTGTTAGGAGGGACTTTATTGCTTATTCAATTTCTGTCTCAGTTATGGGTCTGTTTAGATTTTCTATGTCTTCATGGTTCAATTTATGCAGGTGGTATGTGTCCAGGAATCTATCCATTTCTGATAGATTTCCCTGTTTACTGGTATACAACTCTTTCTAATAATTTCTGATGACTCTTTATTTCTGTGGTGTCTGTTGTTACATTTCCTTTTTCATCTCTGATTTTATTGATTTGGGTCCTTTCTCTTCTTTTTTTAGTTAGTTGGTCCAATTGTGTGGCAATTGAGTTTTTATTCAAAAAACCTCCATTCATTTTGCTGATCTTTTGTATTTTTTGATTCAATTCTGTTGATTTCTTTTCTAATTTTAATTATTTCTCTTCTCCTAATAGTTTTGCATCTGGTTTCTCTAGTTTTTCTAGATCCTTGAGATGCATTGGCTCTCATTATTTGGTCCCTTTCCAATTTCTTGATGTAGGCACCTATTGCTATAAACTTTCTTCTTAACACTCATTTTGCTTTATCCTGTAATTTTTATATGTTGTGTTGTTATCCTCATTAACTTCCATAAAGTTGTTGATTTCTGTTTTGCTTCTTCTATGACTCACTGTTCATTTCAGAGCATGTTGTTCAGTCTCCATGTGTTTGCATGTGATCTAGGGATTCCTGAGTTGCTAATTTCCAGCTTCATTCCTTTGTGGTCTGAAAAGATACATGGTTTGATTTCGATTCTTTTTAATTTCTGAGACTTGCTTTATGGCCTAGTATGTGGTCAATCCTAGAGTAGGTTCCTTGTACAGCTGAGAAGAATGTGTATTCTTTAAGTATAGGATGAAAAGTTATGTAGATATATGTTGGATTCAGTTGGTCTATAGTGTTTATTAAATCTGCTGTTTCCTTGTTGATCTTCTATCTGATCGATCTGTCTATTTCTGAGAATGGAGTATTGAAGTCCCCCTATACTACTGTATTGGAGTGTAAGTCTTCTTTTTAAGTTCCTAAACATATCTTTTAAATAACCTAGTGTCCTGTGATTAGGTACATGTACTTTTATAATAGTTACATCTTCCAATTAGTGTTGAATTGAACACTTAAGCATTATATACTGCCCCTCTTTGTCTCTCTTAACAGGTTTTTTGTTAAAGTTTATTTTGTGTGATATTAAGATGGCTATGCCAGCTCTTTTTTGGTTTCTGTTGGCATAGAAACACTTTTTCCAACCTTTCACTTTTAGTCTGCATGCTCCTTTGTTGGAAAGATGTGCTTTTTGCAAGCAGAAAATTGATGGGTTTTGTTTTTTAATCCAGCCAGCCAGTCTATGTCTTTTAATTGGAGAGTTGAGGCCATTTACATTCAATGTGACTATTGATAAGTAGTGACTTTGCCCTGTCATTTTTTCCAAAGATATTTCTAATAAATTCTTTGAGCTTCCTGTGATCTTTTACTGATCGATTTTCTTCCTTTACCTTTTTTGTATCACTGGCCATGTATCTATGTTTCTGTGTGTAACAAATCTTTAGCATCTTTTGCAGGGCTGGATGAATGGTGACAAATTCTTTCAATTTTTTTTTTTTTGCTATGAAAGGTCTTTATTTCACCTTCATTAACAAATGAGAGCTTTGCAGGATAATACTGTGTAGTGGCATTTTTTTCTCTTAGTACTTGGGCTATATCATGGCATTCCCTCCTAGCCTGTACTGTCTGCTGAGAAGTCTGCTGTTAGTCTAATTCGAGATCTTCTAAGAGTAATCTGATGTTTCTCTCTTGCCCATTTTAGAAACTTTTCTTTATGTTTCACTGTGGTGAGCTTGATAACAACGTGTTATGATGAAGCTCTCTTTTGGTCTGTTATTGGGATGTCTATGTGCTTCCTGTACTTGGATTTCTCTTTCCTTCTGCAAACCTGGGGAATTTTCTGCTAGTATCACATTAAAAAGGCCTTCTAATCCTTTCTCTCTCCACACCTTCAAGAACTCCCTGGACCCAAATGTTGGG